AGTCATCATCCAGTGATTCTCCTGTGGAGAAAAATTCAATTTTAAACAATCAATCAAGACAGCTACTGTATATGCACTTACTCATTTTCTCTGCCAGAGTTTCCGCTGGTCCGCCAATCTTTTCAAGGATGTTGCTAAGAAATTTGTCGAACTTATCTGGATATATCTCAATTAGTTGACCTATACTTTCTAGTATGTCACGAACGGCCAGCGAATTGTAATCTGCAGCTGGATCGACAATCATTCCGTGCTCTTCATCATTTATGACGCCATACTGCAGCAGTTTACCAGCAACTGTTACTAGACCAAACTCCAGGTTCGATACTATCGTTGCCTGGTTACTTTTGAGGAGCTCTTTCTCACCCTTCTTTCCCTTTTCATCGTACTTTTTACCTATTGCAATACATTACTAATAATAATACTTCTAGTACATGTATATATTATACATAGATCTAGATCTAATTTCTTTGCATGCACACATGACATCTAAGAATGTCTATCATTTAATATGCTTACTCAGGAATTCATGAAGTAATTCGCTATCTTCTATGCTGTCAAGGAATTTCTTCATTACCTCAGCCCCTCCATTAATTTTTCTGTCCATCTTTTTCATGACAGCACTCAGTAAAAAGACTGCTCTGTCAGTCTTTGTGGTCGTTTTTCCAAATTTTTCAGCTACCACTGCTGCGTCGGCTATCATCCCTTCTTGAGCTGCCAGAGACGAAAATCTCGTGAGGGAGTGAACCAAAAGTTTAGCAAGCATCTTTTTGTTAGCTTTGAAAACTTTTAATTCTCTGGTAGCCATTTCTGTCGTGTTTTGTTGCGGCGCTTCTTCTAGAGCTTGTTGTTGTTCTCCACTCTCGCTCATGACAAAAACTTATGATACGTTTATCATCATAATAAGTTTATTCATAAAACAATTATATATAATTTATATATATATATATCTAGATTTATATTCTATACTGTAGTGACACAATAAATTCTAAATTAACAATGAAAGTTATTTCTGTTTTAAAAGTACTAGACTAATACTGATCATTGGAACTTCATCTAGTGCCATTGTATTCATCTTCTGTGAGAAGAAAATAATAAATTTAGCAGCTATGTATAATGTATCTACTTACTCATCATTTTTGCAATGTACTCTGCTGAGCCTCCCATCCCATCAAGAACATCGTCAACAAAAATTGTAAATTTTTCATCGTTAAGCTTGATCGATATACTGATCTCTGTTAATATTTTATTAATAGCCACGTCTTCATACTGTGCTCCAGGATCAACACAGATTTTATGCTCATCAGGGGAAATGACTTGACACTGCAGCAGTTTCCCAGCAACCGATGCTGTGGAACCGTGTTCCAAAATTGAGATAATATCTGCCTGGTGCTTTTTGAGGATCATCATTTCAGGTTGGCTTGTTTCTTTCTCTTTCTCTTCCTTGTATATTTTATCTATATGTTGTACACAAATTATGATGCTTGTGTCTAGGTAGACTATTTACTACTTACCCAAGAATGTATGGAGAACTGGAACAGTATCTTCTAAGCACTCAAGAAATTTTTCCATTATTTCTGCAGCATTATCCACATTCAGCTTGCTTATGATAGAATATATGAGAAACTTTGCCCTTTCGTTATCTGTGGTAGCTTGTCCCAGTTTGTTGCCTGCTGCCTTGACTGCATCGGCTATCAAACCTTTCCCTGCTGCTCGTGTTGCAAGATCTGACAATGAAAAGACCAGGCTTTGAGCGAGGGTCTCCTTGTGCTCGGTAAAAACTTCAAATCCTTTCTTGCTACTCTTAGACTTACGGCTCGTCATTGTTGCCATGTCTTGAACGTGTTCCCAGCCGCTCATGATACTATAAACAGTAAAAATGATGATGAAGCGTATAATGATTAATCTTAATATTATTCATTCATAAAACGACAGGAAGAACAACAAATTGAGAACAACTATGTTTTGCATTGGCCAGTTGGAGGATTTTCAAATTTTTTTGAAAAGATCAATCAATAAAGTCACTCAAAATTAGCAAAACACAACAGACAGTCTTTTCTTTTCTATCAAACACAATAATATCAAAAAAGTAAGTTCCTTCATATTTGATTGTATTCTCCAGAGCTGCTTCGCTTTGCCTTCCATTGCAAATAGAAACTGGTGTCAATGACCACCCAGAATATGTTAACACCCCACAGAACAATACTTGTAAAACCAAATACCTACATATCAAAATAAAAGAATAATAATAATTATAATGATTTATACAAAATCACAGGTAATTTGGACAGCTACAATGGTAGCACTAAATGCCAGGACAGCTCCCATAGTATAGCCTCTCTTAATGGACACTCTCTATAGCGTACACCTCCATTTAACGGACAGCACCTAGTGTACCAATTAGATTCCTTACTGTATAAAATAACCTCCACATAAAGGACACCTCTGTATAACAGAGACACTTTCAAGTGTCCATTATATAAAGGCTATACTGTACATGTACATCCAAAAAAACTGCTGCATTAATATTGACACGAACGTTATTAAAAATAATAATAAAACTAACATCAGCAATGGCAGCCTGGGCATAAGATCCTGGTTCATTGTATGTTGTATCGTTACAACTATTTGCCAGATATTTATCATGGATGACTTTAGTCTTGATGTAGCTTTTCATTTCGTTTTGAACAACAGCCCATTCGACTGATGCTATAAACCAACAGAGAACCCAAACAACATGAAATACCAGATCCTAGGATGATGATAATAATAACAATAACAACACGTGGACATAAAATTTTGAAAGCAATGGTAAATGATTAAATTTTAATTTACACAGATAATGTAGCATAAGGAGATCAATATGTACATGTACATATTGAGCATGGAATAATAATTGAGAACCAAATTTATAGTTTCTAAGAACAATCACTCAGTGTGTTAGAAATGGTTGATAACTCACCACCAAAATGAGGTAGTTGATAACCCACTCCCACTTGCTGTTAGCAGTAGCAAACATGTATACTAGTATAGCAATGATCCCATAGAATAGAGTCAGGGAGCCCCAGGCCACAAAGAACTCAGCTGCTTGCTTATAGTCGCCACTAAGAGCTTCAGATGTTGCATTAGCTTCACAGGATGGTTGGTAAGTAACATCGACTATTGTATAGGGATAACTGGCCTTGGCAGTTATCTGGCAAACTGTGCAATGATCAGAAAGAAAAAATAGACTATTATACAGTATAACATAAATTTTTTTATAAATTTTTAAAGTTGTCCAAAAATCTGGTTAAAGTCCCTGTACATGGTCTTGGGCCAAATTTTGCAAAAATTAAAAAGTTGAGAATTCTCCATTTTTATAATATTATTGATACATATACATGTTCTTATGTTGTGTAGAAAGTTTGAGCTGATTCCAATCAAGATTGGATTTTTTTACGAATTTCTAAAGTTGCTTCAAAATTGGGTAAAAATCCCTGTACTATAGTACAGGGTCGCGGGCTAAATTACACCAAAATTGAAAAGGAGAGAATTCTCCATTTTTATACTATATTCTGATGCATATACATGTTCTTATGTTATGTAGAAAGTTTGAGCTGATTCCAATGAAAATTAGATTTTTTTACGAATTTTTGAAGTTGCTCCAAAATTGGGTAAAAATCCCTGTACTATAGTACATGGTCTCGAGCCAAATTTCGCCAAAATTGAAAAGTAGAGAATTCTCCATTTTTATAATATTTTCAGATACATATACATGTTCTTATGTTGTGTAGAAAGTTTGAGCTGATTCCAATCAAGAATGGATTTGTTATGAATTTTTAAAGTTGCTCCATATGCCATAAGCTTGTCAGCTCATATTAAGCTCATGCTTTTTACTTCACTTGGCATACTTTGTATGAGAAATCCAGCTCTATTGTATAAAAGGAACTTTTAAAATTATAAATTTCTTCCTTAAAATTTTTGACAAAATACCATGTACACACATGGCCTTTGACGAAAATTTTGAGCAACTATAAAAAAATTTTTTTAAAATCCAAATTTGACTGGAATAAGATCAAAAACTTAATACACGTAATTTACCTTTGGTTCCATTCCACCGATTGCACTCAGCCCTATTAGTTGCAGTAAAACCAGCCACCAATGATAAAGCCAATAAAGCTATTATCTGTACAGAATAAAAGAATATACACATGGAAATGCCTTGTAGCCCGAAATTCAAATATATACTCATTTTAAAAATTGGCTAACACAAAAATTGGCTGACAACATAAGTGCATTATAGTTTATAGCTATTTATTGCAATTAGTAAAGCTTAAAAAATTATTCCTTATACATGTAAAGATACATACTGTACAGTGTAAAATTCTATATATAATATGTATACATTTAAGAATAAACATGTACATGTACATCTATCCTTAGTATCATCTAGCCATTAAGCTTAACCCGTATATTACACACTCAAATAGTTCACAAAGACACTAAGTTACCATTTCAACGATCTTCAAGAAACCTTTCGGTTGAAGAGGAGCTCTCCAGTGTATCTCCATATTGTGGATGTAAATTAAAAACTGACATGTGATCAAAATGGGCGTGACACCACACCCCCAGTGTTTTGTTTAGTTTTATCTATGGTTCTATCTTTATCTACGCCCCACAAAATCAGCAAGCAAAACTAGTTTGGTTTCATAATGTCTGAAGGGCAAGTGCAAGATGGTGGGAGGCTCAGTGGAGCTAGAGGAACGCTAGAGAAACTGGGAGACATCAAAATAGGTCAAAAGATATCTATTAACCTTAGGATCCTTTTGGAGCCAATTGGATTCCTCCGTATCATACTGATAGTAAGTTTTTTTAAATAGATCTAGTTTGGTCAGAAAGTATTATATTGTTTTTAATGATGGGTGCATTTGCAAGACTACAAAGCAAAGATGCATGCACTTTATTTAAATGTTTAATTGATGTAAAGTGTTTCTGGTTTCTGTTTCTTTATAAGGAGGTTTTCGTTTCAAACAAACATTATTATTGCTATTGCAGTAAATTTTATTTTTGGTAAAGTATTTCTGTACGTTTGTACATTTGGAGGTTAGGAGGTGGAGCCCATTAATGTTTTATTACCCCTTAATTCTCCTAGTTATTATTATTATTATCATGATGTATTATTAAAATACCGGTAATACATTGATATTATTGAGAATTCGGCATTCAATAGTAAGACGATATAATTAGGTTAGTGGATAGCGAGCCAATGAAAGTGAAATGTGTTTATCCAAAGTCATAGAGCTGGTGTAGACATCATGATTAGACATGACTTGTAGACATCACTGTGACATTGTAATTTATTTAATATACCTTGTTCATTGCTTTGTGTGCTTAATGTAACACCAACCAACTCAACTGTATAATTTCTATATATTTAATTGCAAGATTATGATATTGTAATTTTATTTTCATCTCTTCCTTTTATTAACTTTAGTTCTTGTGTCTTCTTGCCTTTTCACTGACAGCTGGGTTCAGTAGCAGTGGATCTACCAATCAGTAAGTCTTGTGTCACGTTTACAATAATATCTGGTCATTCTTTCATGTTACTGTACAGTAATTATTGATATACTAGTATTAGCTATAGTCCATTAGTTTTATGTAATTATACAAGTCACATGACACAAATTATTACTAATAGTTGGTCTTTTACTTGATTATCACTAAATGGGATGTTTATAACTACTGTTATCATATATTAATACAACACAATGTAGTACTACAGCTTGGAAATATAATAGTTCTTGGAATCATTGATTCAAGCTAATGCCATTGATATTCCTTGCTTAGTTTAATTGCTGCTATAAATAGCCGGAGTCTGACATAATTGTTACGACATAGCTGTTACTATAAATAGCCAGAGTCAGACATAGGAATGATGAGCATCTACTCACTCTATGTCTCTATCCCTACTAGTACACATCAGTAGTTTGTATTAACTGGATTATGTGAGTGTGCGTACATGCACTGCTCTTAGTTATGTAATGTATGTGTCTTGTGCTCTCTCTGGCTGCACACTTTTTAACTGATTCTCTGGCGCATGACCTTTCCTTTGCATGTGGAAACTTGCAGTTGTTGCATATTTAGTGCATAAGGCTATATGATAACAGATTAGTGTCTGAGAATGACAAGCATTTGACTTATTTTGTACCATTAAGTCCTTTGAGACTTCACTACTGGGTTTTAAGAATGGTACAAGGACTTTTATCAAAAATGAAAACAAGAGAATTTGTCAATTTATAATTTTTTAAATCTATATACATGTACTTGTGTTGCATAGGAAGTTTGAGTTCTTTCCGATAAAAACTAGATTTTTTACAAATTTTTAAAGTTGCTCAAAAAGCTGTATGCTTAGCATGCCTTAATTGTGAGAAACCCTGAGCATAAGATAAGGCCATACTGGTACACGTAGTACTACTGTAGGCCCAATGACTATACCAATTCAATTGATTGTAGACTAAAATAGAATCATTTGGAATGCTCTTCATTATTTTTATTTGGTAAAAGAGTAACACTAAGTTCTCCATCCCATTCAACATGTGATTTTATGACTTCGTTATTAACATAAATAGGATCTTTCCAATTTGACCTATATTGTTCCTACACAATCACTTAAACTATAACCAATCTATTCACTGTTACCGGATATTGATTGTCTATAAAACAACTAAGATCATCCTTCTGTTTCTAATCATAGCTAATCTAGATTCTAAACTAGGTTACGGAGTCTTCAACCATGGCTAAACAATCACTGGAACAAATGTAGCATTAATCGGACATTCCAGTTCATTCCTGTTATCTCAATGAGTTGTATAGTTGTCATTAGGCTGGGTGTGCTCCGTTGGTAGTATTCCTGCGGTTGAACGTGTACGTAGTTATTCTTTCATGCATGCAAATACATTATAAGCCTTATATAACGCTGTGTTGATCGTACATCTCATGCTGCATCATTATATCTGTAGAGTAATTATTAAATCATTAGCTTCCTATAACTGGAATTCTTGTGTGTGGCAGTAATATTTGTTTTTAACTTGATTTTTATTACTCTTATAACATGTACATGCACACTTTCTTCTTATTATTTGAATCTTCATTCATTGTTTACTCTTCCGTGGAATTAAATTCCGTTAAAAATAAAATTTTAAGTCAGTACATGCCTTGTGGACCTGATTTGGCACCTTTACAAGGTAACCTACTGGTATAGTATAAGCTAGTGTGGGAATCAGTCCTTCAGTGCAGTCTAAATTGGTTACACCTACTCCTTGTTGTGATAGCTAACTTAATATAATTGTTATGGCATGACAGTCACTAGGAGTGGAGTAACTCTCATGTACTGATTATTATTATTAAACAGTTTTCTTGTTATAATTTTTGATTGTTTCTATACCAACAGCTCTTTTTCCTGATTGCAATTAAAAATTTTATTCCCCCTTATGCTTTTTAAAGGTGTATCAGTTAATGGATTGTGGATATGTGTAGCAGGAATGTATTAATTTATGCTGCAGGTATGGTATCCACTCATTACTTCTATTTTTGGAGTTACTCTGTAGTACTAGCATATGGTAGGTATTTTTACTAATAAAAACATACTAGCTAAGCTTCATTGATGATAGACACACAGGAGTTGCCCAGAATTGTATCATCTCTTGATGGGCTCCATGATTTAAGGATGGACGCTCCTTTTATAACCAGTGCATATTAAACTATACAATACTTTATTCTGACATTGTTGTGAGGTGATAGATATTGACCTTAGAATGGGATTCTGGTGTCATGTGTCATGTATAATTTTTCATTGTAATGAATCCTACAGCAGTATTGTCTCCAGCATGTTGCAATATGACATGTGATATGTACATGTACATGTGCATGTACATAATTTGATTCTGTGTTTCCTTTCTTGTAGAGCTAGATGTAATACCAATAATCTCAATATATCAGCTACTGTTACACTGACCTTCTCCTATCCTTATCGTGCCAACTCTTTCTCCTTCACATACGATCCTCCACTCAATGATTCTGCTCCTATTACTTGCTTTACAGCTGACCAGATAAAGACGTTCAGTGGGTCTGCAGAATACTATGTCTTTATGACTACAGTCACCTTTATCTATGGCATCCTGGCCGTCGTGGTATATATATTCTTTTATGTTCCTCGGTATGATATCGCCAAATATTTATCAGTTGCAGTAAGTTGATTTTTTGTTTTTTTTCTACCTTCCTCTCCATTTACTTGTGTACCTAATCACTTGTTACTATAGTTTTAATGCTGTATTTGTATTGAAGTATTGCTCCTTTTTGACACTCTCAGTAATGTACTTGTAACCTTTTCCATACTGTAGGATTTGATTGGTACTTCATTGTTAGCATTCTTCTTCATCTTTGCTAACATAGCCTGGTCTGCCGGTTCATTTCAGCTAGAGAACTACACTGTTGATTTGCTTAACTCCAGACGAACTGATTGCATCATGTGTCAAGATGTTGATACTTTACCTCCAGCAGCACAAAACTTTGCTCAGCCTAGTGTGTCACTGGTAAGCATTATACTAGTAATAACTATCCCATCTCTATCTCTTCCCTTATTTTTATCACTTCTTCCTGTCTTTGTTAATCTCTTCCTTCCTTCTCCCATCTCTCTTCCTCTCTCTCTTCCCCCTCTCTCTCCTTTTTCCTAGTTATTTGGTTGGGTTGCCATGCTCCTGTTAATAGCTTCTATTTGGTTTGTCTACAAGGACACCATTATCCACCTCAACCGTATGGGTCCACTCTACAAGCTGCCATTTATTCACAGGAGGTATCGCCAGAGACAGGGGGGAAGGGAAGGAGAAGACAAGTACACAGAGGAGCAGGGTCAAGGGGAGGAAGAGAAGGAGAGAGGAGGGGAAACAGTAGAAGAAGGAGATAAGTGGTATGTAGGGCTTTTTCATCCAAAATTAATGACTGTTGCTTTCTGTCCATTTATAGGTAGTGTTTCTCATTTGCAAGGACTTAGCTTTTTTTTTTCATGCTACAGCTACTATAATACCAATTTATAATAGTATTAACAATTTTCATTAAGTAATTTTGATTTTCCCAAAAAATGAAATTTATCATACAAGTATTATTATTATCAATAATAATAATAATTATTATTATTATTGATTTTTGTGTATGGAAGATTTGCTAATATAACCAACTATTTGAAATGAAAACTTTGCATAATGTTAGTATATGATTTTACACCCAAAAATAAAGTTATGATTATGGTACGCCCCACGATGATATTACTATGTTTTCCTAGTTTATAAAGAAATAATACCTTTTGTAATTACAAATCATTAATCAGTTGGAATTACAATTTTTGGAGGGACAACTGTCCCCTTTTGTATTATTTTGTACTTTCATAACATTATTATGAAAGTACAGCATTTTCCAAACATTACTTCACCAGCTAGATAGCCATACTTACTAGCCAGAAGTATGATCTATTGTCATACTTTGTGTTGCATACACTGTAGCGGGGTGATACATAATTATTGACAGTCATTGCTACCTACTCATGTTTGCTGTCAGAGTGAATCCTTCTCCTTTTCATAAAGTGAGCATGCCGACTGATATAATGACATTGCTATCATTACTGCAATAAAATAATCATTAATGACTTTAATTGTTTATTTACGGCTCCATGTGGGTCTGTTCTTTCAAATATGATCAATCAAAAGTGTTATCTGCACCTACTCCTCTCCCCCTCAATATTACAATAACCTATTAAATTCCCATTACACTTCTATTACTAACATAACCACCGCATTATATAGCTGACTTGGCATTTGATTGTACACAGATTGAACAAGATTACCCGATGTGTGTGAGTCATGCATCACGCACAGTGTACATGCCTAAGACTATTAAAGTATTTGCATGTATTAGTGATATAGTCAGTTGGTAGTAGCTTGGAATGGGGGCTCACCTTTTTATTTCCTTCATTACTCGTTGGCTATAATAGTCGTGATCTGTGATGATTAGAACAAGTAATTAATCGCAGGAAAAAAATGAAGAGTGTTTTGTAAAGCATGTCACAGTAATCTATTTGAGTGCATTGCTTTACCCACAGTTATGTGTCCGGATGTTTACTAGTGAAAAAAGTACATGACAATACTTCTTATTGTCGTTCAGTTTATGTGAACCAATCACAGTACATGTACATGCCACATTACATGTTTCACGTGTCCTGGCAGACGCACTTTGCACATGCACTCTTAGTCTCCTGTAGTAACACAACACTAAAGAATTTAATAATTAAAGCAATGGTTTACATTAATATCGGGCAGTGGGATAGACAGGTGTAACCTGAGGAATGATCCCTCCGTCTAACAATCACATCAAATGACATCAGCTGCTCCTCTTACATCACGACTGAGGTAAGGGTATGACCATATCAGTTAGGACGAGGCGCCAACCAACGGAGTCTCTTGTATGTGTGAAGTATATGATGTAATCTCCTCTTCATTGTAGTTTGGACAAGGATGACTGCTGTGGTCAATCATTGATTATAAGTCTGATTTAACTTTTAGAAATAGACTACGTGTACATTTAAGAGTATCAAAATGAGCATATGCATTAAAGTGACCAGCCTATAAGTTAGTACGTGATTTTTCGCTGTACACGAGTAAATAACGAGCATATATGGTATCACGATTATCTGGTTGAGTTGATATCAGAAATTGTTAGTTTACTATAATTAACGTTAGGGAGCACTCCTACCTCATATTTGATCATATTAATTGGTAAATGAAATCAATATAATATATGATGACATTACGCTTTAGAAATAATCATACTACCAAGCCTAATATTTCTTGTAACCGGAAATGTGCAATGTTGATAATACAAATCATAGTAGCCCAGGTGTGCCATGAGTTTTAGAACTGCTACAACTGGGCACTATCGATTTGTAGTGAAGCCAGGAAAGATTCATGTTTGTTTATACCAATAGAGGTCTAAAAAAGGTGTGAAAACAGATTTACAACTTAAATCAGGAAGTTCATGAACCTGATTTTGAGTTATTCATGACATGTGGCTGCTAATGCAGGCTCTCCAGTACAGCAGGTCTACAACATTCATTGTGTAACTAAGGAGATTGAGACATTATTAATTAGACAGCTATTCAAGGTATGCAGCCAGACCTGTGACACAATATGACTTACAATAACTAATTCATAACCATCCATCCAATCTATCAAACTGGTATTGTAAATTGTGGCAATGATATGAACAAATGTGTATGATATAAATGAAGTGGTAAACATATAGTTTTTTAAAATGGATATATATATATTTAAGTTATTGTCAATATTAAAGTGCATGGTGCAGTTAGCTGTAGCCACATTGGTAATAACATTGTCACTAGTGTAAACTGTTACTAGGTTACGATTGCTATAGTATCAATAATATCCATAGCCTGGGGTTATGCCTTAAGCGTCAAGTGTGATGATATAATTATAATAATGGTCCAAAGGACACATATCATATGCTAAAAGTCACACACAGCTAAGTGCTAAATTCTACTCAATTAGTAACTCTTTATAAAGAATAAGTCAATGTGACACTGGATCACACATACCATTTATGAATCCCTTGAGTGTGGAGTACAACTAAGAAGCCTCTACTATATGCCAGTGCTTGTTTAATTACTATATAATACAGTTAGGAGAACAAATGAACAGGCCGAATTTCATCAAAATTGAAAAGTAGAGAATTCTCCATTTTTATACCTGTTTCTGATACACATATGTTGTGTAGCAAGTTTGAATAGATTTCAATTTTTTACGAATTAATTTTTAAAGTTGCTCCAAAAGCCATTTACTACATTGTAGTGCTGTCAGCTCATGAAGCTCACTTAGTAAGCTGTTTAGCTCACTTAGTAAGCTGTTTAGCTCACTTAGCATGCTTTTAGGAAACCCTGGCCGCTAAACACTTGAATGATGTGTCAAAAAGGTAGAAATGAAGTGTAAAAATACTAAATTAAAAATAAAAGACACTTATGAAGTCATTAGCCTATAGGACTCATTTTTGTCTAAAATACAACTTCAAAGTTTTCATTTTCCTTTAGTAAGTTAATACAGAATATATTCCCACTAGTTTTGTTTTCATTTTCAAACTCTTCCTCCTCTTTCCTTTTACTCTTTCCCTCTCATAATACATACCATCCACGATCACTCCTTTAATCTCACTGCCATCAGTCATTTCCTCTCTCTGTTCTCCTTCCCTTAGTCATGCTATACTCAACTTCCTCTTTCTCCTTTCTTGTCTCATGAAGGAAGCAGATGAATCAATATGATTACAATCAAGAGTACACCGACAATTAATATACATACATTTACATGTACATACCGTTACTCATTATAATAGTGAACCATTATTGTTATACTCCAACTATCACAATAATGTACATAGTACAACAGTTTAGAGTTTACTGAACTGGTAATTCATTCATTTCTTTGCAATAGATGAAATCTAAACCTGTCATGCATACATTTCACTATAATTTTCATTTTAGGTCATACAGTGTATTTTACCTTCCGGTGTAGTCAGGAAAGTTATTCAAATATAACAAATTATCGAGACAACAGGTAACGACTAGTGATATAATGTCCTGCTCATGTCCTGTCTCCAACCAAAGATACCTATTGATCAACCAATTGAATCCTTTATCTTCTTTGTACGTGTACACAATGGCTCTTCCGAATACACTACAGTCTCTTACCCTAGTGCTTTCAGTAGATGACTGCTAGCTTTTAAGACTTCTCTAATGACAGACATTCCATCTTCTCCTCCATCCAACGCAATGTGCGATTCATATCTTAAAGGAAACAATCCATGGATTAGTATATACAGATTACAAGCAAATTTTTTAATAATTAGGATCAGTCTATCCCAGAGTCATAACAGTGCACAAGAGTTGAAATGAGAATACAAATTAGCATCACATACTTGGTGATTTCCGGTTGTAGCATAGGAATGACCCCACTGGGTATGTAAGGTGGATTACTGACTATAAAGTCAAATCTGGACTCAAGTTCTGTATCACTCATCAGATCAGTTATTGGTGCTTTGGTAACAATTAGCCTTTGATCTACTTCATTTCTATAAAATAGTATTAATAGCTCATGTCTAGACAATGGATTGCGTTACCGAGCGAGATTCATATTAGTAATATATCTGTCATAGGCATTTATAAAGGTATGAAAATTAGCCACAGGAATTCATAACAAAACCTACATAATGCACGTATATACACAATGGCTATATTAATTTGGTTTTTGGTCCAAGAAATGAAGGCAAACGGAAATATTGTACCCAGTCTCTAGGGCATAATCTACATTAAAGGTCTTAGTGTGCATGTATGTACAGTTATCTGTCATACTATTAGTAATGATAAAATAACTACAACATTTTAATGATCTATTCACCTAATTGAATTTTCTTTGGTAAGTTCAACTGCTTTGGGTAATATATCTGTTGCATAGCCACTGAGCTAATAGAGGATATGAGTCAATAATGTTATGTTATAGTACAGAGTTTCCCACATAAAGTTGACAAGCACAAACTATGCAGGTACATGACATTTAGAGCAACTTTAAAAATTCATAAAAAATCCAAATTTGATCGGAATCAGCTCAAACTTTCTACACAACATAAGAACATGTATATGCATCAGAGAATAGTATAAAAATGGAGAATTCTTTATTTTTCATTTTTGGCAAAATTTGGCCCGAGACCATGTACTATAGTACAGGGACTTTGACCCAATTTTGGAGCAACTTTAAAAATTTGTAAAAAATCTAATTTTGATTGGAATCAGCTCAAACTTTCTACACAGCAAAAAAACGTGTACATGTATATGCATCACCATACTGATTCATACTGATTCATACTGATTCATTCTCTTTTAGCAGTGATACTGAGATGGCTCCACTTCCACAGCATAGCTCTAGAAAATCTAATTTTTGGCGACAATGGTGATTTTGCAAAAAATTCAAAATATGCTCAACCAATACCTACCAGTATAAAGTAATTATCATTTAAACCTAGTAAGTATACCTCTGTTTCTGGCCTAGGAATAAAAACGGGCTCTTTTATAGCCAATTTAGTCTTTCTAAAGTCCCATTCGCCTATTATGTACTGGACAGGGATTCTAGAGTGGTCTTAATATATTGTTAGAAAACATTAATTCACAACCTTTTCAGTCTTTTTAAACAGAGAAACTCAATGTCGTCAATCTGTTTCTCTGACAAAGTTTGTTCCTAGTATATAAACAAAAATAGCTGAAATAAACAAATTAACTTTGTATGCTCACATAAAATAGAAAAATAAAAAACAACAACAATTGCAAACGACGTTATTATTCATGGGATGATCCAGAGAATTAGCACTGCTCTGTGAAGTAGTCTATATCATCAAGAGATCATATACACAGTAAACAAATGAGGAATTCCATTATAGACACTTTTAAAATGGCTACAGAGGAAGAGTCTGATCTACAAGGCTATGATAGTGTTTGGGAATAAGAGTTGACAGATACTGCTACCGAAAACATACGAATTGATACACCTGCCCTGTAAAAGGGATTTACGGAACACCACCTGGCACCTGTGGTGCATTACATGTGTTCAGTCAATATAATTATCGTTGTATGTGACATTGATTACTCCCAAATGAGTCTTATCAAGCTTCTAGTGAGCAGATGGCTACTACAGATTTACATAGTGTATTACTATCAATTATATACACAGACGTACTGTGTAATTCAATACTATAGTCTACCTTCTTCCTTTTGCTGTTGCATATTATGTAGTCAACAAGATATTCCGCAGAGAGTTTATAGTCCTCTATGTCATGACTCTTAAATATTTCACTCCATTTTCTTATCAGTTGACCAGCAGTAGGCCGCTGTGATACTGATCCTGCTTTTCTTGAGAATAACTTAACAATATTCACACTGGTGGTAGCCATATTGCCATCATTGTTATTATAATTGTGTTAGAATTAACAATTATTGTTCACACAATAAATTTGTACAGAACAATGGAGGTACACAAAAAACAACATAAAAAATACCAGTCAGAATGTGATAAAAAAGTGATATTAGTAATAGATGGTGATATGTTCTTAGTGCATAATTATTTGTGTGTGTGTGAGAGTGAATTTCATGCATACGAAAGTTATTATACAAAAACAATATCAACAAGTTCACTGTTAGCAGGAACAGGTTTGGTATATGATGATTGAGTTAGAGCAGGAGGTGAAGTGACTAGCGACTCTGTACTAGATGAATATCCGCTACTGCATAAGCTGGTAGTGCTCTGCATTGTTGAAGAACTGTTGTCCAGTGGTCTGCTTTTTCCTTCAGTTGGACTCATTGGTTCACAACTCTCGCAGTGAAGTCTTATAGCTGAATCACGCATTTCACTTCTGGAGTGGCAGTCACAGGTGCATGATAGTCCAGCTTCAGTCATGATGCTCTTAGTGATTTCCAATGCAATGCTTTTGGAGTGAGAGATGCCCTGTCGTCTCCTGGCCAGTGGTGGTAACTGAAGTGAGCTTTTCCTTGGAGCTGGGTTGAGCCATGGATGACTGAGTACTTCACTGATAGTTGCACGAGTAGCTGCACATGGATCAAGCATCCTTGAAATGAGGTGTTTAGCATCTATAGAAGAAACAAAAAGTGCATCATAACTCATCATCCACAATAATAACAAAACAATACTTTTGTATATGTTATGAAAAGCCATGATTTGCAAGTAAGTTATATTATCTACTACTCACTTTGTGATGTGTTTGGTGGTTCAGGATAGTCTGATCGGCTGATGCTAGTTATGAAGCTGCCCCAGTTAGAGTCATCGAATGGCATGCATGCGGTTAACATGCCAAACAGGATGATTCCTAAGCTCCATACATCACACTCTGGTCCCTGGTATGGCTTTCCAATGATCATTTCTGGTGAAGCGTACAGTGCACTGCCACAATACGTTGCAGTCATTGCGTTGGGATGAGTCTCTTTTGAGAATCCAAAGTCGATGACTTTGGCTTGCTTTGATTCCGTCAGGAGAATGTTCTCGAGTTTAAGGTCACGGTGAGATATATTGTTCTATTCAATGAATAAAAGAAAGTAAACAAAAAGTCAATGAATATTCTATTCTATACAACTGATGGCATGCGATCATTCTTTGTGCATGAATGTAGCATGCATGTGGGTCATAGTGTCTACTTACCAAGTGACAGTGGTGGACAGCACAAGCAATCTGTGAGAACAAGCGCCTTGCTTCTGTTTCGCCTAGCCCTTGCTTCTCTGCAATGTAGTCAAATAGCTCGCCACCAGATACATATTCCATAGCGATACACATTTCTTTCTCTGTTTCGAAACCTATTCAAGAAAAGAGGCATGACTCGGGTCAGGCTACAAGCGCTAGGGAACTTACTGTCATAATAAGAGACGATGTGTTTGTGCTTAAGAGTTTTCATGTTCTCTATTTCTCGTTCCAGCCTCTCTCGAAGCTTTCCAGATGAGATGTTGGCCTTGTTGATCACTTTAAGAGCGACCTAAAATGAAAATGGAATCAATCGGATCCATCCAGACAGTTTCTTTCTCTTACCTTTTCATTTGTAGTCTTGTCAAGAGCAGTGTAGACTTTAGCAAAGCTGCCGCTACCAATCTTTTTCAGTATTCTGTAGTTGTCCATAGCTTTTCCAGAGTCTAATTAGCAAGATTATGATTTACAGCCAAGCAAACTCGCTCTTTATATTTGCAGCAAATAGATTGGTCCCACCTCTTCCTGTTGACCTAGCAATCAGGGGTCAACCAGTCTGAACCAGATCTGGTGCATTGTGTACATTAATAAATCCAGTTAGATGTCAATCCTCTTCCTGTACTAAAAAGCACACGTTGTCACAAATGTAACCTTAAATCAAAAATGCTATGCCTTTAATAGCAATCGTAGCAAGACATAATTTGTCCCCATCCCTTTTGCAGAAACTTGGCATAATTATAGTACATGATTGAAAATACTATAATAAGAACATCTAGCATGAGAATTGGGAACTGCCAAGTTTATTTAGGGACATCCTGTCTCCAGAATGATCTGACCCATTCAAGACATGGCTAGTACATGCAGGTAATGTAACCTCTGTTATAACTAACACAAAAGTACATTGCAGCCTAACAGTAATTATAGGCCTACACTGTTATGTTAGCTGAAGCAGAGTTTGCATCATTACCTGCACGTGTTGACCATGTCTTGAATGGCTAATTATGGCATGAATACTAGGTGTGGATGTTCACCCTTTAGTGTTTCTATACTTAATTGGCACAAAGCTTGACAAAGACACATTATTATTGACCAGATTAGATCTATCGCAATTAGCCTCGGGCACAAATGCTTTGAAGCTTGTTCTCTTTATGAAGTTATAATACAAAATTAATAAAATAATCAGTAATATGTATGTATAATATCATAGTTAATAATGACCAGTGATAAAAGCTTCTATAAATGCTTGAACACTACAAAACTTGGACAGTATGATATAAAAAGAATCCACACATACACACACACACACATACAGAGATACGAATACATCTATAGTGAAACATAACTCAAGCAACAGTACACACACACACACACACAAACAACATCATTATACAATCACTATCGCTACAAATGACAAATAGTTAATACAAAAGTGTTTTATTCACTCTGGTGCTTTGGGGTGTCAATGGAGCTGGTACGGGTTCTTCAGAATCAACAATATCTTGAAGACTTTTAGAGCGGACCCTGTTCTTGCTTCCATAAGAGACTGACATACGATTGTCTTGATTGACTGGTACTTCACATACCTCCATCTGTGCTGCCTTTTCAACTACTTCAACCCACCTACGTATAAAAACAATAATAATAATAATAATGAACTTGTAAGCACTAATGTTTATAAGGATGTGCCTTACGTTTCAAAGTCGGCAAGATTTTCTGTTTTGAATGAAAGGTTAAGTTTCTTCTTTGCTTGATGATGGATAAGGTTAATCGTCATGGAAGCTCTATCACTAGTCACACGGTAACCAGGTAGTGGGACTGTTTCATTTGCTTTAATATCCTGTGAACAACAAACATTGATAAAGAACTCATCAATGGAATAGTGAAGTCAGGATGTACTCTTATCCTAGCTACCATTAACCCTCCACCATGACTCTAATTAAATTTTGTGTGTTTTATGATATGCATAGCTTTAGCTAATCTTACGTCATCTACCCTACTACTTGGTATGAACACTATACTACAAACAAGGCATACAGAATTACAGAGTACAGCTGAATAAGGTGAACCGTGTGACTCACTTCCACCCCATTACCTCATGAGCTTTAAACTTGTAGAGTGCCAGGTCTTTGCCTACCACATACCAGCATCTATTCCACTTCTTTCCATCTTGTTCCAGAACATACCCTCCAATAATTGCCTCTTTCTCGTGATCAAGCTATTACAGAGAAAGAGTGATAGTAATAACTGTTGAGATGGGAGTCAAAATTATCGAGACACAAAGCAGATAAAGGAGACATTACAAACTGCTTTAATATAGCATCATTTGAAGTAGGTAGACAAACCAATAAAGCATATACACGTACATGTAGCACATTTAGTATAAGATTAAAGCCATGATCACATTCTATGAGTAAAAACTTGCCAACGTCAAATTTTAAAAATCCATTTTCATCTCAAAGGTATTATCACAACTCCTAGGTGAATTAACGTAGCTATTCATATCAGTAATAACTGATTCGGCTAGACTAGTTTTCATTACAGCTCATAACACTTTCTCAATAAATAAGCTGTCGCAAGCGAACAGACTGGACACATCATCGAATGCAAAAATATGTGAACTGTGAGCTCAATTTTAAAATTATTATCATAGAGTAAAATAATACCACAAATGTATTATAAAAAACAGTACTCTTTAT